TCTTCTCCTTCTACGTTCTTATAATTATTATATAATTATATAATTATTATATAAATATCCATCGTGGATAATTATGATCACTAACAAGGGAAAATTTTAATAGATGGTCTGGCGGAATAGACACAGAGGACGCAAGAAGCAGGCCAAACTACAAAAACTTAAAAATGCTAGCGTCCCAATTATTACGCGGGTACAGATCGGGCAATTTATTTCCCCTCAAGCCCGTCATCAACTTAGAAGGACTCATTTGCGCCAGAAGTATCAAGATCGAGCCTTCTCCGATATCCCTGTGGTAGACCTTATCTCTGACAATCCAATCAACAGTTCCTCTAGTAATATATCTCCGGAGCCTTCCTTGAATTTTGAATTCCTTTCTCCCTCCTATTCTCCTATCCTCGATAATTTCCTAAACTCAGAACTTTCTGCTCCCTCTCACTCTCCAATCCCTGCGGAAGACAACAGATCCTACGATGAGATATTCTAATTACTTGAATACTTCATCGAATCTATAAGAAGTTCCTTTCCTTTCCTTTAATACACAAACACACACATACCCACAGAAACCTATTGTATTTTTCTCTAATATCGATTTTTATAAAAACAACATCCATCACACACACGCGGTACTTACTCTTCATGTATATATTTATATTATTGCAAATTTCATACATTATGTGTATATGATTATATAAGTACGCGCATACATATGTGTTTAACTTTAATTAAGAAAAAAATAATAAATAAAACTATAGAAAAATTATACAGGGTCCGGCAAAATGATCTCCCACATTTTAATCTTTAATAAAAACGCCATTGTAAATGCTATTTTGTCGTCATGAATTGGACGGGCGAGCATCGTGCCTTCGTTATCGAAACATTTATGAAAAGTAACGAATCTGTGATTACGACGCAAAGAACTTTTCGTACTCACTTCGCGCTTGGTAGACATGCTCCAGTTCCAGATCGCAAAACAATACTGTTGTGGGTTTCAAATTTTAGAGTTACAGGTTCAGCTTTAAAAAGAAAATCAACTGGTAGACCCAGAAGTTCGGACACCTGAAAATGTTGCTGTAAGAGAAGCAGTTGAACGATTTCCTAGCCGTTCAGTTGGAACCAAAACTTAGAGAACTTGAACATTCGGATGTGTGGTTTCAACAGGATGGAGCTACGGCTCATACGGCAAAAAGGACAATGGACGGTTTAAGGGAAATGTTTCCAGGACGCGTAATCTCGTTACGTGGAGACGTTGGGTGGCCTGTGCGTTCACCCGATCTTGTCCCATGCGACTTTTTCCTTTGGGCCTACCTGAAAGCGAAGGTTTTTCAACACCACCCTCGAACCATTGACGAATTGAAAGTAGCAATATGCCAAGAAATTACAGGAATATCGCCTCAAATTATTGCTCGAGTGATGAAAACTTTTAGAAATCAGCTTCGAATGTGTATCGAAAAAAATGGTCGCCACTTGGACTCTGTAATTTTCAAAACTCAATAAAAACAAATGGCATAGCATAAATTTTCAGTTAATAAAAATAAAATCTAAATAGCATTTACAATGGCGTTTTTATTAAAGATTAAAATGTGGGAGATCATTTTGCCGGACCCTGTATATGAATATTTGATAAATGATTGCTTAAATTTTATTTCGCCACCCTTCCGATTCACTGTATCTTAACAAAGATTGTACAGGTCTAATTTCAAAAGGATTAAGTTGTTTGATCTAAAAGAAGATCAATGGCACAATCTCAAATTGGGTAATAGCGTCGCATATCGACGTTGACCTACATCTGGGACATAATTAAGTGCGTCCGACTTGTGGCACCCTCAGAGCGATAACCACAAGAGCGATGTCAGTTGCATCCTTCCTTGGCCCCCTCATAATTCCTTCTTCCTATCGAAATAAAAGAATCTTGGGGCCTGGATGTAACAATACGATAACTTTGAATTTTAAAGTTGACAATCCTGGAGGAAGCTAAACTTAACAATTGCTTAACAATTACTTGAATAAGGTTTATTTAGATGATTAACATGAAAAGAATGATTGTGTATGAATAAATCGAATAAAATAAAGAATGCCGAACGGTCAAAGTTAGATGTTACGAATATATTTAATCAATTTTTTGTTCCAAATGTGATTGCGCGCCGATAATTGTCGGATTTTCAACACAATCATTATGAAATGTTTAATAACCTCCTCTAAATAAAACCCCTAAAAAACAGAAAGAAATTTATTGCGAAAAATATTACTTCAGCCAGGGCTCGAACCTTCTCAACTTGCCGGGATGAGTGTCTTAGAGTGCCAACTCGACTACTGAGGCTTCGGAAATATTCCTCGCCGATATGTATAGAGAGAACGCGTTATTTAGGCTGCGTGTATAAACATTATAAGAAGAATGACCGTGTATGAATAAATCGAATAAAGTAAAGAACGTTGAACGGTCAAAGTTAGAGGGGGTTATTAAACGTTTCATAAATAATGAGTAACGTTTCATAAATTAGATGATTAAATTTGTTTTGTTATACCAATTGCTGAATTTGATCTTCAAATACTTTTAACTCGTACTTGAGATTGCTGTTATTAGATTATTTACTAATAACATGAATGTAAAACCCAGTCTACAATTGCGTAAGCGTAGTCACTGTCGAATACGAGAAGAATATTAGATTGCAATTGGACAATTCTTACAACTACAACCACTTACAACTATACTTATGCAATTATAGATTAGATTAAGTTTTATTTGAGCTAGATGAGAAAAATTGTACCTATCACACTTTATGTTTGTCGTAAAAAAAATTTTATTAATTTTGAAATCGTTAAAATCGTCGCTAGAATCTTCCTGTCTCGCGATCGATTTTATCAATCAGTATCTGTTTATGTTTCTTTATATATTCTCGAAAGATTTATCATCATTAAAGTAAAATTATGTTGTATAATTAAGATGAAAAAGGAAGTAAAATATCATTCTCTCCTTAATCTAAATTATCTAATATTGATAATATCTTATTTTTAAAAATGTTTAAAGGAAGCTTCGAAATAAAAGCTTAGTTTTTGAAAATATTTTGTGTCACACAAACTTTATCGAAGCATTTATCGAAAAATTATGTAACATTAATGTTCTTTCTGCTCAAAAAGTACCCAGAATTTCTCATTTAATGAAAATGTTAATGGCATGTCAAAATGTTGTTTTTTTCACTAAGTTAATACAATATTGTTCTCGACATTGATGCAAAGTTTGAGCGCGATCTATAATTTAGTTTGTTTACGACAACTGTTATTTATATCAGTCTATCTTAGGTGCGTTCGTCAGATTTTATAATGGAAAAAAGTTGAGCAAAGAGCGTGTTTAAAATTTTGTATTGCTAACGAAATTTCTTGTACCGATGTATTAAAATGTTACAAAAAAAAGCCTACGGGGACTCCTCTCTCTCTCGAAAACATAAGTGTATAAGTGGTATAAATTATTTAAAGATGGCCGTGAAGTCATAGAAGATTTGTCGTGTTCTGGACATCTATCAACATCAAATTATCAACGGACAAAAACGTCGATAAAGTGAAGGAAATTGTGTTTGCAAATCGTCGTGTGAATGAAAGAGAGGCTGTTTCAACCCTTAGCATCTCTAATAGTTCATCACATTTTTGGAAAGAATACGTAGATTTTGCATCACGATAATGCACCGGCGCACACATCGTCTCTTAAATGCGACTTTTTGATCAAACATGCAACCATTGCCCGTATTTATTATACATGACATCGTGTGACTTTTTCTTGTTTCCAAGATTTAAATTGCCACTACGGGAAAGCGTTTTGATTCGATTGATTCCATAAAAGAAAAATCGATGAAGGAACCGAAAGCCATACCTTCAGGAGCCTGAAAAGTGCTATAAAAAATAGATTAATCGCTGAAAATAATATGTGTAGGGTAACTCCGATATATACGCTGCACTTACCAAAAACTTAATTTATTAAGTATTATTTACTATTTTTAAGATAAATGAACTATATCAGTAGAAACTTTGTACTGTCTACTACTATGAAAAAAATATAAAAAATTCGAAACTTATTTTTCATATTAAAAAAAGAACTTTTTGAAGTCTTGCATTTTTGACGTATATCCCATAAGGGTGAGATATATAGCTATTCATAGGAGAGGGGGGGAGTATGGCTCATGAAAAATTTACAAATAATGCTTATAAATAAGACGTAAAATAACACAATAACTTAGAAAATATGTTTATAAAGTTTTATTAAGGAATAAGAATGAGAAATATGTATATGAAATAATAGATATTAATTACAATCTTCTTACATATATTACAAGTGTTATTACATGAGATAGATATTTTGTGTGAGATATGTTTATTGCATTTACTGAATCCAATCTGTGCAGTTTGTATGCTTTGCGCATAAATTCTGTTCGCTAAAAATGCCGTATATCCCAAACAGATGGGACAACAAACTAAACAAAGAATACAAGAGCAAAGCACTTATATTTTGCTATACTATATAACATGCTTTACTTATTCCTTTACATTTACGTATCACAAAATAACCACTAAATCTTTTACACACCCAACAGTAATCATTTTATGTAAATTATAATTTATGATGGCGCTACTTATTACAGTTAGAAATCAATTCAACTCACAATATTTCATTAAAATTAACAGTAAGAAACTGAAATCATAACACAATACTAATATAACATAAAGACATGTAAACTAACAGAGTAGTTGCGGGAAAATTACCCCCACTCCTTTTACTTTTTCTGACTTCTGCGGCGTAAATTTCAGTGCGGCATATTTGCCGGAGTTACCCTATGGCCTCGAATAGTGATTATTTTAAAGGGGATAAAATAAATTATTATATCTTAAAATTTAAAATTTTGCGTTTTATTTAAAAATTTTGGGTACTTTTTGAGCAAAGGGTATGAATGCATTTGCGTGGATTTTTATAATATATTGCATAAAATTTTGTCATATTATCATCATATAATTACCATATTTGCCCGAATATCCCCACTCAGATGTTTTCGATGCTTGCAAACCTGTAATTATACAATACTCTTAGTCGTTTCTTTGCATTAAAAAGTATTTACTTTTCAATTAATATCTATATAGAAATAAACTTTTGAAAGTATAAAATTATGCATGAATAAAATGCGCAACAATTGAGCGTCATTAACCGTCCCAACAAATTGTTAAAACAATTAATTTAATTAAGTTTGTCAACATAAATGAACCTATTACATAAAGAAAATGATTTTTACATCCTGTTATAAACTTCAAATACTCAATAAACACATGATAATAATATATTGAACGTTCATTAAACGTAAAGTAGGTATAAAAATAGTATAAGAATAAAAGTATTAGGTGTTGGAATTAATTCGTAGCGTTTTTTAATGAAAGAATGTTATTTATTTCACATGAGCATTAAAAAATACATTAATGAAAGTACTTCCCATCACTTGTAAAACGCTACGAATTAATTCCAACACCTAATAGTATAGTAGATAAACATTTTAATTTTTACTATTTTTATGCAATCGTAATAATTTATGTAATACATGATAATGATATCCACTTTTATTATGTTTCCATAAGATAAAACAGACTTTACTATACGTTGAAAACTAGTATACAAAAAGAAAAGTTTAATTTTAAGAGTGCACTTACATTAATACATATACATATTTATATAATCGAAAAAACTGTTTATTGAAAACATATATAATTTATGAAAAAGATCTCATTTGTAAACGTTTACAAAATATTATTGTACAAATAGTATAATTTACGTTTTTAAAATGTCAATAAATGGTTATACAAATAACTTACATCACACGCTTTTATAGCTAAAATATAATACGATTAATAAATACGTTTTCAACGTTTATAATTAAACATACTTCCTTTCAATTTTAAATGTATTAAAATATCGCGTTATACAACTATTCATAATATACTTCCATGATATATATTTTGACTATAATATTTATTATATATATATGATTTTATATATTGCCCAATAAACACATGTTGGTATACTATGCATTTATTAATGTAAGTGTATAAAATTGATATTGGCATATGACATATACGTTAAAAAATAGTTCATAAAACATCAGAATTTTATCTACTTTTATAATATGTATAAAAATAGTATAATATTCTAATTAAATAAATATTTTTAATACATTTATAATTTGCGAAAAATATTTCTTTAAATAACGTATTAAAAATTATTATTATATATTTAAGTGATATATCATATTTGGATTTAATATTTCGGTATAGTATGATATACGTATTATCTAAATGATAATATACTGTCTAAAAATATAAAAATATAAAAATACTGTCTAATGTTAATAAAAGATTGAGCATTTCCAATAAAAACGAAAAGGTAGGATTCACGTAGAAATGTTTACGGAACACATAAACATAGTACATTAAACGTATAACATAAATAGGCCACATTTATAAATTTAAGAAATGGTATAATACGTAAGGCAGAAGTTTTATGATCCAGAGATTCCAGGTTCGAATTCTACTAAGATAAATTCCAATAAAAAAACATAATAGTATATTATACGTTCAAATAAGATATTTACGAGATATTTAAATGAAGTAGCTTCAATGTATATCAGTTCCATACAGTTGCGATAATATATCGTAGCGTTTATCAAATATGATTTGAATCGGTCAAAGAATAACGTTAAGAAACCTAATATATTTATACATATATGACAATATACTAAATGTCTATCAGCCAGACATTACAAATAGAATTATACGGAATTGGTATATTTTTAATCGTATTTAAACATCCCTGAATACCTGATTGATGTATAATATTGGGTTTATTGGGTAGTATTAAAAATAACAACATTTACATATACCTGAAAACAACTCATCTTATTTCAAAATGGTTAGAATGTTTTAATGACACTTAATTGTTTTACATTTTATTTACGATTTCAAATGATACTCTTAAACATTTACTTCTATACAGCTACTTACTAAAAAGTAAATACTTTTTTCATGGAATATTCATTAGAATATTTTCAGATTCTTAAGGAGGTTCGACTATTATTTTGAAATCAAAAGTGCAACTGAAAATCATTTACAGCGATTCCGAATATGCAATATTAGTGTAATGAATTGTGAATGTTATTTATGTGCTCTATATTCTAAATTATTAGTATAAAATTATTAGTATAAAATAGTTTAAATAATTAGTATAAAATATTTAACAAATGTATGATTTGAGACTAGCTCAGGAGTCGTCAGCCTTTTAATGTCGAGTGTATACTTGGCAATGTTATACTTCGCGATGTGACGAGCAGTGACTGGCTATGGCAAAGCCATATATATAATTATAGTATAATTTAAATATAATTTAAGTACAATTAAGTTTAGTTTAATTATATAATTATAATATAATTTAGTATTTTGTAATTTTCCGTTTAATAATTTTGTTATTTTTGTTTTTCATATCTGTTTCTTTACCGAGATGGATTCCAGGTTATATGAAATTGGCTTCTTATCAGCTGTTGCATCGTAGCGTTGCTAAGTCTATTACTACTAATGCAATCCGTAAGATAAATATAAACTTTATGATAATAAAGTTTTAAATTTATACAGTACAGTCTGATTTTTCTTTCTTATATACAATTGTTGAATTACATCCGTCAAATCCTAGTTTTTCAAAGTTCTAAGTTGGCTGAGCGTGTATTAAATTGATGATTATCTACTTCGGAACGACCGTCTTCCATAAGCGTTTCCCATAAGCGATCATGCTTAAAATAATAATAATTTCATGATAATATTACAAAGAAAATTATACGATACAATGTTGCTCATATTTTGGGATTATTTGTATGCAGTATTTATCTATATCATATAAAAAAATTAACTCTAAGTTGGTTTGACAGTCGAATCTCCTTCCCAAACAATGCAAAGTTTAAAATTGTAACACAAGATGTCTTTAAGTCTTTTAGACGTAAAAAACGTCTTATGACCCAATTTTAAACATTTTTTGTTGTCTGTTAAGGATAAAAATTTTATATTATTCAGCTATTAATATACAAATAATTATACTAAAGTTATATATACAAATTATAAATTTTAATTAAATTAAAAAGAAATAGAATAAGTTAGCTTGAAAGCATATTATAATGCCAATATTAGTCTCCAAGTAGTACTATTATCACACACTAAATGATTATATTGGCATCGTAATTATGATTGACATCAAAATTAAATTTACGCAAATTGATAGACATATAATATATGAGATAATATATTCCTATTATAGTAATCTCTATATATAATTAACAGTAACCTTCATGTAATTATTCTAATTTGTTTCAATCCGGTTGCTTAGTTTCAGTATTACATGCAAATTCATTCAAAAGGCAAATTCGTTTAAGAAGCAAATTGCGGAGAAACGTAAGTACTATAATACTTGCGATCTAAAGCTGGCGCTGACCTCGTGCTCCCACTATTAATTTGACGAGTTCGCACGAACTGTTCATAAAATATAATTATTTTCACGTCACCGCCACGCAAACAGTTCGCCATATTGCGAGCGTGTCCGTCCCATTGGGCCTAATAACTAATTGAACGCGCACGACAGGAAACAGAATTGACCTTATTGACCGCTCGGACCATGATGAATTTATTCGCACTTATTTTTAATCCCATTATCATCGCAGTTAGAAAGAAAATGACATAGCGAGAGTAAAGCGATCATTTCATGAAAGCCATACATACTGCCGACAATTAGACTACAATCGGCGGATAAACGCCGGCGCTTTCTAGATCAGCGTACTGGCCGCAACAACGGCCAAATCATTCAAACGACTCGCAGATTTTAATGAGCATAATGCACACTTCCGCTACGGGGATAGAGCGTAAGTCCGGTTGATCGGTATATGAGTTTTATCCATAGTTAAGAATGCTTAAGATTATTCGATACATCGGAATTTTATCTACGATTTTCTTGTTGAAACTTTATGCACTATAATCAATATTTCGATAAATTCTATTACAATGTTTAAAGAATTTGTCTCTTTTTGTCCTTGATATAAAACTATTATTTAATTTGGAAATACAATATATAATTTCACAATCAATCTCAAGTTTTAAGATTAAAAAACTATTTCTAATAAGAATATTTATCAAGAAATATTCTTTCATAATTTATTATTAAAATTTTTAAACAAATATTGTATTTTTTACTTATAATTTAATTAAGCAATGCTCTAGAAAAATTAAGTGATAATTAGGTGATGATTCTTGAAAATAAATACATATACATATATTAGATTTGATAAAAGAATATAATATTAATATCTTGTAGTTTGTGTAGTGAGAAAACGTACAGAACAGAAGTAGTAAGTTTAACCCTTAATTAAACGTATAGATTTATAAAATATTCTTGTCAAAAAGAAATAATTTAAAAAAAAAAAAGATTATGAAGCTCTTTCGAAATTGTTTAAAATAGTACAAAATATTGCACAAACAAAATTTAAAATAAATAATTGCAAATAAATATATCGATATTTGTTTGCAACAGTTGTTGGCAAAAGAGTAAAATGTATTACATATTATAAATTGACACCAACAGATAAAACGATTATGAAAATTGTCAAAAAGATAGAAGAATGATAAATTACTCGTTAAAATAATAAATTATTCGTTGAAATGATAAATTATCTAATCAAATATTTAGTATATTATATTATGTTCACAAATATTCGGACATATCTCAATAACATAATATGAATCATAAAAAAACTTGAGATATTCACTTCTTTATCTCTTTTATCGTATCGGTATTTTCTTTGAACAATTCATCAAGTAAAGCGAAATAGCAGGAATCAGCTATTGAACAAACGCAGTAGAAGAACCCTTACCTAGAAGAACGATTAAGCAAAAGAGACGCATCGCAGGGAACCACCTGGGATGATCGTAATGGGTGACACACGAGCGCGATGACGACGAGTATACGACTGATGAACGCAACGCAAATCTAACTGGATAACCCCGAGATTACGCTAGAAGCTATCGCATGAGATTTAGCGTATACACAGGTCCGTCAAGTCATAGTGATCACGGTGATCAGTACGCAACGCGAATTATCAATGGATTGAGCCGTTAGATTACACTATTCGACAAAACGGACGTCAAAATGAAACTAATTTCCGTAGATTTTTTGGACGCTGAATACGAACATAACTTTCAAATTATTCTATCATATCACAATTTTGAAAAATTTACAGTTGCAAAAAGGAATTGTTTTTGTTTCATATTTACCATATTATAACTACAATGTACAAGCTGGAGAAGTTTTGACAATGAAACAATGAAAATGAAGTTGTTGATAGGACATTCAATTCTCAAAAAGATTTTTTAGTGTCAGCTATGTAAGCTAAATAAGACATTTATGGTTAAATATGGGGTTAAATATGGGGTTGTGGAAAAATGAATCAGGTTATTAATTGACTATTTACTTAATAACTTTCAATTATATTTAGTTAAACATAATTCAGCTAGCACAAAAAAATGTAGTCGTATGTCATCTCTATTCTGAGTTTATTTCCAGATGCGAAAAGTATATTCTTTTTAGAAAAAAGAAGGAATTTTTCTATTCAAAAAAGAAATCTTTTGTGTCTGAAAATGAATTCTAAATTGATAACATAATAACTACATTTTTTAAAAATTCTTTTTAAACTCTCTGTGCCAGAAAGAATTTTTTGAGCCGAATCCAATGCCAAAATTGACAAATTTAAAATCATAAAAGATATTTATATATTTTGTAACAATCCGAATATTTTTCAAATGTTAACATTTGCTATGTTGAATCCACCAATTTCAATTTGTCAACTTTGATATCACATTCGTATTCAACGGTTTAAAAAATTCTTAAGTTTAAATAAATGTAATTAAAAACTATTTGTTATATAAATTATCAATGACATAATTTATAGTTTTTCTATCATAACATTAAAAGATCCTTTCGAAGACTGAAAGTCCTAACAACATACTTAATTTTTTAAAAATAATATATTAAACAATTTATTATAATTAATTTCTTAATTATAATAAATCTTTCTCAATATATCATATATCGTATTTTATAATATAATAAAATGCATTAAAAAGTAAAATAAAATACGTAAAAATAGTCCTTTTTTGCAAATTTTTCAAAATGACGTGATAAAATAATTTGAAAATCACATTCATATTCAACATCCAAAACACTACAATACGAAGAATGTTTATTTTGATTCAAAATAAAAATCATTTTTCGTCGAACAATGTTATCAGCGCATTGTATAATATGATATTGTAAAGAGAAATAAATGCGTATTTTCTTCTTCCTATCAACATACATACTATTTTTGTGCAAATAAATGAAGCATGTTTATCTGTATTAAACGATCGCGATTTTAGCGAATGATGCGAAGTGATTGCAATTTACATTGACTAATTAAATGAATACTTTTATATATCAATTGTCAAGGATATTGTATTTTTTAAGAAAAATTAAAATGGAATTAAAGGTTACAGATTTCTATTTTTATTTTGTTTTTATAATTGCGACTAAGACTTCTTACAATTTTTTTTCTCCAAAACTATGTACTTGTTTTATGTTAAATGCAAGAAGTGTAATAAAACACATTAAAATGATTTTTTTAATTTGATGAGTAATTAATATTTATAACATAAATAAAATTTGTAAAACGCAAACGAGAAAAATGTTACATTTTCGTTGCCGATGTAAAGTAACGCTGTTATCGAGTGGTAGCCAGAGCGATCAACTGAGTAAATTTGAACAAAGCGTGGTTCAAATTTAGACACGCGGTTTATGCGTTCATCAACCGATAGACCAAAGTAGATGACCAGGTAAGTATAAACGCAGCTACCGTCATTATTATATATGTATTGTATCTTATGTTTAAAATAAGTTATCATTAGTCGCTCATACACAAGCATTCTCAGAAACGTCTATCTGATAAAAAAAAGTCTAACAAAATGAATGATGTATAAGCACAATATATCTTTTTATTTCGAAAGAAGGTATAATAAAAAAATAAATCCTTAAAAAGGGCTAGTTTCTATTGATTTTTAAAATAATATAATAATTTTAAGAATTTTCAGTCTAAAATAATACAATTAAAAGTACAAGAAAACATTCTAGGCTTAATATATAAAAGTTTTATAGAACGTACTTATGTTTTTTAGATATTTGGAGAACACCCAAAAAACATATTCTGTTGATAAGCGGGGAATTCCTCTTAGCATTTTCTTTAAGCAAAAGATCTTGCATTAATCTTACATTAATCAGGTGCGTATATTTATAACACGTATTTATCTATAAAAATGAGAACACATGAGCTATGATCAAAAGTAAATTCCTCTAAAAAAAACTCTATTATAATAACTCAAATAGCGTTTTAAAATAAGAGAATATACAAAATATTAGCGGCATGTTTATTTGTTAGAAGTTTGTCATTTACGTGCTACCGTAGTATTCGTGCATGTCAGTACATGTAAGACACCTTCTAATATTAAGAGGATTGCAAAAGCCAGTATTTTATGATTATTCAAAATTCCATTATTTTGTAGAGTATCCTCTTGAAGTCATATAAAAATGAAAAATTTTCTGACATTAACAAGGAATCGCTAAATAGCAGAATTATTTTGGGGAGTGAAACAAAGTAAAAACAAAAAATAGAAAAATTAAATTAAATATTTAATTTTTGAGAGTAATCGAAATAAGAAATAGTATCAACATATAAACTAATAAATAACTTGATAATTTAAATAAGATTTTGTGCTGCTTTAAAAGTATAAGACTAATAATTATTTTTGTATGCATTAATCTTTCTTTTTTCTTTTTAAAAGGAAATAATAATTTAATTATTCATTTATTCTATTCTATATTTTTTCCTCTTATGTTTAATATTTAAAATATTGCATGTTAATTTCCGTGTTTAAAAGTTAAATTGTCAGAGTGCTTTTCTAAAAATCGATAATAATCAAGAAATAAAGGAATGACATTTTATCAAAAAATAGCAAAACATTTTACCTATGCAAAGCAACATTAATATAACTATCAATGATTAACCTGAACCCATTTTTACATCCACCTGTTATTTTGTCGAGACATAATTTGGACGACAATTATCGCCCGACTGACCTGGCAGATTCTTTGTCGAGAGACTGACGTATCCAACTTCCGTATTACTATCAAACTCACATGAAACTGCAGTCTTGATTGATTAGAGGACCGCGAATGCGCTTTAATAAATTTTCGTAAATTTAACATTTTATTAGAAAAACAAGAAAATAAATAGAATTTTTAAAAATAATCTTATTTAATTTGATATCGTATATTTCCTTCCGTCGTGTGCAATTAAAACTTATCAAGAAATTTTTTGATCGTTTCCAATATTATTCAAATCCAACGAGTCCTTAAGATAACTACAAACGAAATCATTTCGAAATATTTTCTAATTGTAAAAAATCTAATGTTCCATTCAAAAACAATAAGTTGATCTTGAAATCAATGATCAAAAATTTGTCTTTCCGTTTTTGAAATTATAAATATTCTTATTTTAGAATTCTCTCTCTTTTTTTCTCCCCTTCCCCTTCTCCCTCGCCACCTCTCTCTTCCCTTCCTCCCTCCCTCTCTCCCTCCCCCCTCCCTCTCTCTCTCGCTACTTTAACTTTAAATTTATTTAGCACTTTCTCTCAACAAAAAAATTATTTTAATTCAAACATTTATTTATAATATTTTGAAATATTTTTTAAA